ACACCGTGGCGTAAGCTCGCGTGGTCCTAACAATCCCCTCCAAGGCTGCACAAAACAGAGACCTCAAGGCGATGGTTGCCGCTACACATGACTCCGGACCTAGCCCGTCTCGCGGATGGAAGTGCGCTCCGGCAGTTAGGACTTCTTCCTAACTATTCTTCTTTCCGTCTGTACAGAATATACTCTCCCTATCACCTTGGCCTTCCCAAGACTTCTCTCTCCTCTCCTAAGGAAACGGCCCTGGAAGATCGCAGCCATTAGGGTTAAACCTTCTTAGCCTTGACACTCGTCGATAGGTCCGTGGCTTCTGGCAGGACTCGAGGGGGGGGTTCCGGGGCAGAGTGGGACGATTGAGTTCCGTCAGCGATCGGTGAACGTTCAGCAACGAGACGCAATATCTCCAGAGCTAAACCAACAAGAAAACGACCTCGAGGCTCTAGACTTCTGATCAAAAGATTGCGAGCTCGAGCTTCAGGTGGTGCACCACCTACGGGGTTGGGTATGACTAACCGAGAATGGTTAATAAGCCAGAAATAAACATTCCAGTCTCCTGTGTCTTTACCGGCAATGTTATCAACGCAAGCGTTGTCTTTAGGTGAGCACACAATGTGTTCTACCCGAATCGGCGGAATATATTTAAAGCATGGCCTGAACCATCCTCCTACCTATTCCGATTAACTTCGTGTGGCCAGCACATTAGGACAGAATTGACTTTTCCACGATGACTACCTTCTGTGATCGCTCAATTAATGGCGTGAAGAGGAGGCCTCATCTGGAGTGTCGGTTTTACACGGACTTGGAATTAGGCAATTTCTGACTGACAGTTTTTCAATTCAACAGTATATTTGCAAAATGGGAAAATAACGTATTATGCGTACTTTTGGTCAATCCGCGCATAACTTAACAAGTAACAATGACCCAGGTTCGAATGTATCGGGGAAATTTTTTTGCTGGAAAGGGTAGGGGTAAAATGACAAATCGAGACATGCTGAAATTCGACAAGTCGTTTAACAGTACAAGAAGTAAAATAAGTAAGTTACTGTGTTAATGGGGATGTCAGATATTGTTGATGTTGCCCAGACCAAAGGAAAGGCTGGAGGTGAAATCTCTGTCGACACATGTAATCTTCCCGCACTTATTCTCTGTCCTCATCCTCGTCCTCCTCCTCTTCCTCCCCCTCCTCATCATCAGACACTTCAGCCTCATCATCATCAGCCTCTCCATTCTTCTTTGCAGGAGCCTCCTTATGGTCATCCTCATCTTCGTCCTCCTCATCTTCTTCAGAACCGTGGACTTCGTGCCCTTCGTCATCGTTATCATCATCACCAGTATCCTCATCTTCATCTGTGTCAGCCTCCTCATTCTTCTTTGCAGGAGCCTCCTCTTGATCAGCCTCGTCTTCTTCAGACT